CACACACACACACACACACACACACACGAACAACACATAAACAAATGTAAAACAGTTAAGAGTCAAAGACTTTTAAATAACTGTAATGAGAAAATAATTTAATATATGATACGAGCACATGTAAATTGTGGTGAGTAAATTATGGAAGAGGTGTTAAAATGTACATTTTTTTCTATGTGACTGAACAGCGACATGATAACTAATTCAAGAAGTTAACAAGAGAGACAGAGAGAGAGACAGAGAGAGAGAGAGACAGAGAGAGAAATAATCACAGCATTTCAATCCAGAAAACCAACAAACAGCAGCAGAACACAGACAATAATACAAACGAAAGATCCACGGACCTAAGAGGAAAGACATAACACAAAGGTAGTGTGAGCCCTTCACCATCAATATTCTACATGTAAATGGAGTAAAATCCCCCATCAATCAAAAGACAGAATGGCTGAGTGGGAACCTCAGTCAAACAGATACAGGTCAAACCACAGTAACCAACCAGCCTAACTACACCTTGTATACAGGAAGCTTGCTTTAGATTGGAGGATGCACCTCCAGCTGGAGGGGTAGAGATGGAAAAGAGCATCCGTGAGAATGAGAACCAGGGGAGAGCAAGGGTGGCCTTGCCCTCATCAGCCCCAGTACACTCATGTCAAAATGGTCAGAAGAGATGGCATTTTATCATGGTTGAAGAGCCAGATTACAATAACAGTCATAACAACACACACCCAGCACAAAAACACTGAAATATGCAAAGTGAGTTTCCATAGAACTGAAAGGGGAAATGTCCATCAAAGCAATAGTAATCCACACTCTCTGATGGTGAGCAGAACATCCAGACAGAAGAACAAGGAGAGAAAACTATGATAACACTGTAGATGTGGGCTAGTAGATGAAACAGACTGTATCATCCCACTCAACATTCTTCTTAAGTGCTGGTGGCTCTTTCTTTAGCGCAGATCACATAAGGTCATGGAAAAGTCTTAACAAATTTGAGAGAAGTAAATCATACTATATTTTCTGATCTAATGGCACTGTACTTCTTGACTATAAATTATATTGCAAAGCTGTCATGATTGAAACAGTATGGCAGGAAAGCAGAAACTTAGGATGGAATAGACTAAGGAGCCCAGAATTGAACCTGCATACATGTACCCAACCTGTCCTCAAGAGTGATAAAAGTGGAATAAGGGAAGGGTTATCTTCAGCAGATAGTGCTAGAAAAACTTAACATCTGTTCGTGGAACAAGGAAATGGGACCCTCGTCTGATACCATATACAAAATCAATTAAAGTTGATTATAACCCAAAATTTATAAAAATCCTAGAAAGAAAAAATGGACTAAGTCCTGTGACATTGTTTTTGGCAATGATTTCATAGCAGCAAGAGCAGGAATAACTGGAATTAGATCCAGCTTGGTGATTCACCAAACTCCTGCAATCACCCAGTGTGTCCTCAAGAGAGACTGTGAGGTATCAAAACTGGGGCTCTGTGGCTTCCACACCTGCCCCTGCTCTTCCTCCTCAGCTCCACAGCCCCTGGAGGCTGAGAATGTGCTCCTTCAAAGCTCTGCTGTCGGAATGGTCAGGGTTTGACAGCCTGGGGATTCCTCTCATCAGCCTCCTCTAGCAGCCCTGACTCAGCCCCGTGTGAGCCTCAACCACGGCCACAGCCGCTCAACACCTTTGTTGAGACTGGTCCAGGGTGATCCTTCAGCATGGCAGCTGCTTCCGGCAGTGGTGACACCTGAGACAGGCAGCAAGGTGACTGGAAAGAAAGAAAGGGAAAACTGGGCATTGAGTGAACATGGGTGCTTTGCAAAGGTTTAGGCACAGTTGTGGGAATTTCACAAGACGAAGCCTATGCAGAATTAGTTCACACAGATAGTGTTAAAACCAGACAGTCGTAACCAGGACCCTCAGATGGGGGTGGGGGAGACTCTGATTTCTAGAGCTGCTGTCTTGTGCTCTCAACAGAAATATATTGGGTGTGCTGCAAAAAGTTTGCATGGCTCATACATGGGCAAAGCAAGCAGTCAGCAGAAACTGTCCCCAAGGAAGCCTAGACATCGGGATTCTCAGACAAACATTTGAAGTCAGCGATTTTAAATGTGTTCAAAGAACAAACTGTGTCTGTGTAATTAAAGGAAACCATGGCGATGTCTTCTCACCAAACAGAGAATACCAACAGAGTAGACTTTTTAAAAATAACCAAATCAAATAGGAGTTCTATATTTAAGATCTACAAGTGAAGTGAAACATTTTCTGGAGGGGTGCAGTGGCTGACTCGATCAGGCAGCATAAGAATAAGTGAGCTTAATGACGGAGCCACGAGCATCTCCAGGCTGCAGGAGAGTGGGGAAAATGGAGAAATGGGAAGGATTTCAGAACTCTGTGAGGTACTACTAAGTTTATGAACACGCACATGATGAGATCCCCTAGACAAGGGAAGAAGGAGAAGACAGGATACTTGAAGAAACAATGACCGAAAATATTCCTTAAAACAACAACCCAAACCCACCATATTAATCTGTATATCCCAGAAGCTCCATGTGTTTCCAAGTGGATAAACTCAGAGACCCACACCAAGGCATATCCTGGTCAAAGTGACGACAGCCAGAGATGCGGGCAGAATTGGAAAGTAACAGGAGAGAAAAGACTCTCTTGGAGTGATCTTGAGTGAGACAATGCCTGATTTATGGGGAGGAGAGCCCGAAGACACAGGAAAGCACATCAAAGGCTGAAGTAAAAAGAGTTCTGTGCAGGACACGCAGCAGCAGCAGCAGCAGCAGCACCGGCCCTGCCCATGGAGCCCCATTCCCTCGATGTCTCCTTCCCACCCTGCCCTCTTCTTGTCAGGTAAAGCTATTCCGATCGTAGCTGGCAGTCGGGGCTCCTCACCCATCTCCTTGTCTGTTTTCACCACAGTTAAATGAAATGCCTTGGCATTCTTCAAATGTCCCCTTCCCCTGGCCAGAAAGAATCCCCAGGGCAGAGATGTGTATTGGAATCTCCTGTTTCTGGTCCATCCCAAGCACCTGCCCAGCATAGCTAGTCCTCAGTGAGCAACCTGCAAGTACATGAACCACACTTCAAATAATTGTGAATGGAGGCCACGAGGAAACGACAGTTCCCCAGGCGCAACAGGACGGATACACGAGAGAGACTCAGAGAGACTGTGACAACAGAGCAAGACCTGCACAGGTTCAAGCCACACACGATCCCAGCAGGGGGAGGGGAAGTGGACACAAAGTCCAAAGGATGCTGGGAGAGGGAAAATCCGTGCTCTTCAGTGGAGTGCCCAGCCTCGTGCTCGGAAGTAGTTGGCCAACACAAAATAGACTCCATGGTTTTTTGTTTTGTTTTTTGTGGTGTGTGTGTGTGTGTGTGTGTGTGTGTGTGTGTGTGTGTGTGTGTGTGCGTGTGCGCATGTATGCTTGCACTTTTAAAAAAATTTGGTTTGGTTTAAGTTTTGGGTTTTTGTTTGCTTTTTTAAGAGAGAGAAGCGGGGCTGGAGAGATGGCTCAGTGGTAAGAGCACTGACTGCTCTTCGAGAGGACCCAGGTTCAATTCCCAGCACCCACATGGCAGCTCACAACCGTCTGTAACTCTCCAGTCCCACCTGAAACCCATGGCAAAACACCAGTGGACATAAAATAAAAAATAAATTAATTAAAAAAAAGAGAGAGAGAGAGAAGGAACATGAAGTTTGGTGGATGGGTAGGGGGAGAAGCTTGGAGAGGGGGAAAGAATGGGATGGAAAATATACTGTATGAAAAATTTAAAACAAAAGTAATTAAAATTATTGCACATGGTTATAAACATGTGAGCTCTCATTTCCAGGCCACAGCAGAGAAATGGGCATAAGGCAGGGCCGACAGTCTCCTCGCTGTAGCTAGTGGAATGGGACAGTTCTGGCCGAGTCCAGCGCTAGCCCCTGCTTCCCTCCGGGGCTGCCTAGCCCGGCTTATCGTTGGTGACACCCACTGTTGTCCCCAAGAACACTCATTTCTTTTTATCTGACATTTGAAGCTCCCACACGGGGGTGCAGGGGGGCGGGGCATCTAGCTTCTGGAAGTCCTGAAATGACGGGAAAGCTCTGAATGTTTGAGCAGCATATTTTAAGGCAGACTTTAAAGCTAAAAAATATTGAAAGACAAACACTGCATGATTTTTTCACCTCTCAGATATTTGCAGAATCTGTTTTGGTTTTGAAAGAGGAAATAATAGGAAATACCTTCCAGAGTCTCATCTTCTGTAGGAAGTTGAGCAGGCGCCATGTTCTGAAGGCTGACACCTAGTACTTGGAGGAGGTCATGTGGGCCTATGGACTTTCTACACCAGTGCCGCTCAACTTTCCTGATGCTACAACCCTTTAATACAACTCCTCGGGTGGTGATCTCTAACCGTAAAATTATTTTTGTTGCTATTTCATAACTGTAATTTTGCTACTGTTATGGACTGTCATGTAAATAGCTGTGTTTTCTGATGGTCTTAGGTGACCCCTGTGAAAGAGTCATTCGACCCTACAGGGGTCATGACCCACAGGTTGAGAACCACCGTTCTACACGGTGATTTAGGGTTTTGGCTCTGGCAGTCTGATGGGCACATGCGTCCAGGTAGCAGAAGGGGAAGTAGATGGTTGGTGGGGAGGGACCGTCCCTTCCTAAAAGCTGACCACTCCACTTCCTTAGATGTAGATGCAGTTATGGGAGCTCCCTGGGAAGGGAGCAGGAGCTCCCTATGTGGGGTGAGGGGTCAGCATGGGGGATGGCAAGCTCATGCGGCCGGCCGAGCCGCTAGCTAATCCCTCTGTGACCAAGAGGTGTGCCTGGCAGCCGTTCGAAGCCCAGGTCTTCTGGCCTGTGGGAGAAAGAGGAACTCTCCCAGCTGCTTTGAGGAGTTAGGTAAGGATATAGATGGCAAAGGCTGTGCAACTCCTAGGTCACGATTTCCCGAGTGACCAGGAAGAGGTGACCTGGCTCCCCTCCCTCTTTCTTGCAGCATCCTGTTTGCAGACATCGTGGGTTTCACAGGTCTGGCGTCCCAGTGCACGGCCCAGGAGCTGGTGAAGCTGCTCAATGAACTCTTCGGCAAGTTCGACGAGTTAGCCACGGTAAGTAAGCACCGTGTTGGCGCTGGTTCTGCTAAGCCGGACGGCTTCTGGAGCGGTGCCCTGCCAAGCCGGCCTCCGTGTCTGCAGTGTAGGAGGAGCCTCCCTGGTCAAGGATTCCCCCGTTAGGCCTGGGCCGGGCACCTGCACTTCACAAGCTCCACTGGCTTCTTCCAAGAGGCGTCCAGGTGGAACCGTGTCCTGCAGGCTGCACTCGGCCCTGGCTGGCCTGGCACTGTGCACCTAAGACAGCCGCAGCCCTCTCTCTACCTCAAGGAGCATTGACTGTGCCTCTTCTGGGGCTGGCCTTGCTCTGGGCTTGCCACCCTTCTGAGCGGGAGAACACCTGCTGCCCCTTCCCCCAGCCCCTGCTCCTGATGCAGACTACCCCCTCCCCAGCCCTGTTGATGCTAGGAATGTTGGGGAAACAGTAGACCTCCTGCTGGAATTCTTAACATTTGGCACTTGTGGTAGGTAAGCCTTGCTGAAGGGTGGCACTCTGTCCTTAGGCTTTATGTCCCCGTGCGAGAGCCTGGTTTACGGTCTCGGGAGGCCTTGGCACTTCCGGAACTTTATCATGTAGGCCAAAGTGCCAGGGGGCAGGTTTAGTGTTTGACTGCAGGTGGTGGTAACCCCAAGTTTGCTTCAGACAGCTGGGCAGAGAGGAGATTAAGGTAGGATGGGTGGGCAGCAAGGATTTTAGACAATGCTCCCTTATCTTAGTTAGGGTTGCTACTGTTGCAGTAAACACCACGCCCAAACGCAAGTTGGGGAAGTCAGGGCAGAACTCAAGTGAGATAGGAACCTGGAGGCAGGAGCTGGTGAAGAGTCGGTGGAGGGGTGCTGCTTACTGGCTTGCTCCTCATGGCTTGCTCAGCCTGCTTTCTTACAGAACCCAGGACCATCAGCCTAGGGATGGCCCCACCTACAATGGACTGGGCCCTCCCCCATCAATCACTAATTAAGAAAATGCCCTACAGGCTTGCCTGCAGCCCCTCTTATGAGGCGGTTTGTCTTCTCATTTCTCAGATGACTTTAGCGTGTGTCAGGTTGACCTAAAAATATCAGCCAGGTGGTGGTGGCGTACGCCTTTAACCCCAGCACTCTGGGAGGCAGAGCCAGGCGGATCTCTGTGAGTTGGAGGCCAGCCTGGTCTACAGAGCGAGATCCAGGAAAGGCACAAAGCTACACAGAGAAACCCTGTCTCGAAAAACAAAAACAAAAAAAAAAAAAAAAAAAAAAAAAAAAAAAAATCTCCCCATACTCCTTTTATGAGGTCTCATGGGATGTTGCTGGAGTAAACATTTTGGAATTGAGTGGGGAAGTTGTTGTCTATGTTCCTAAAGATCTCCTGGAAAACCCATCCTGGAGCACCCAAGGATGTCCTAGCCAGGGTGTCATAGGACCCCTGACTGGGAAAGGCTTGGCCTTCTGAGGAGAGGTAGACTGTTTTTGTTGGACGCTGGGGCTGCCTGTCTGTGAGGCCTCTGCAGCCTTGTCTTGTTGTCCCTGGGTCTTGTCCCCTGAGTGTGGCTGTGTCTGTCCTCATATAAGCTGCCCTCGCCTCAGGTGCATCCCTGGATCTTGCTGTGGCATGAAAGATTCCTGGTCCCACATGATGGAGGGCTGCTGTTGGATAGGAGAGTGGGGTGGGGTGGGGGGGGCGTGGCCAGCATGCCACTCACTGCAGTGAGGGTGAGTCTGCAGCCCCTCTGTGTCGGGGTCAGAAAGCCCATTTTGACAAGGTACAGGGTAGCTTGGAGGAGACTCCAGCCTGGCGCGCTCACTGCTGTAGCCAGTGGTGTTCCCAGTGTTCCTGGGTCGGTCTCTGACTTTCCCAGGGAGCTCATTCATTGGAGCCTTCCGATCAGAGGGTCAAAGTTGGCCTTTTCTTTTTCTTTCTTGTGCCCTGAGCTTGTGCCGCCTAGAAGATGGGGTGGGAGGGGGATTAGGTTCCCTATCTCCAGCATGCAGTTCATCCAGGAATTTCTGAGACCAGCATCATCCCCAAAGGAGCCACTTTCAGTCTAAGCGTCTGCTCCCCGACTCAGGGGCTTCCCCAGAACTAGTCTAGCCCTCCTGCAAGGCACCCCCACCTTGTGTCCCCTGCCTTCGATAGCGGCGGCTACAGGAGTTGAGGACAGTAAAGGTGGAACAATCTTCAGTGGCTGCTGCACGGGCCTCGATGACTCGAAAGTGTTTTCCTGCCGAGCCAGTGTCCTGCAAAGGGCAGATGATTCATTCTTCATGAATCTCTTCAGGATTGTCACAGTGGTGCCGTATCTAGAGAAATCTTTACCTAATCAAGAATTGTAGCTATCTCCTACCCGCGTTTTCCTCGGGAAATTGTGTACTTTAAGGCTTTCCTGAGGGGCACGGCTTGAGGGTGAACTGTGAAACACCCCTGTGTTGTGCCTCCCAGGACGGCGTGAGCCCTGGGGCTCTGTCCTCTCCATCGGCATGCACGACTGCAGCCCCGTTGGCCTTGCGATCTTGGGTTGTAGTAAAAAGGGCTTCAGTGCAGCGCCATGCTGGACTCTTCCCCTGGCTGCCTGGCTGCAGTGTCCCCTGACCATTCACATCAGTGCCGCTGTTGGGGTGCCCACAGAGCCCCCCAGGCCGAGCTGCCACAGCTCTTGTTCCTGAGGACACTGTTCTGAGTAGCGGGACTCACAGTGCTAGGCAGAGACCAGATGTACCCTCCTGGATACAGACTGCCTTCAGATGACCCTGGATTTGGCCAGCGGAGAGAGAGCGCCAGGTGTCTCTGAGAAACCGGCCATTCAGAACTGTGCAGTCCCCACAGCTGACTTGGCTCCCCAGTGACTTCAGGAGCATCACCTCCCGTAGCACAGACGCTTGTTGCAAAGTGCTAGTTTGTTTCGGGGGGCATGGGATTGAGCTGAAGTGAGTATTTTCCAGAAGTCTTCTAAACAAAATGCTTCCAGTGGGGTCTGTTTGGACTTGAAGCACCCCACCACAAGGGTACAGCTAAGAGCCCAGTTGAGATCTCGGAGGCTGTCGGGAAGCAGGACAGGCTGTGTAGCAGGGTGACGGTGCCACCGCAGTGATGGCTGTGGGTGCACATGGGCTCTGTGGTGGGGCACAGTAGTTAGCACCCCACAGCTGGCAGAAGATTGGCCAGTGGGAATAGACATAATCCCCTCCCCCTTGGGCCTATCTATCTTATGACTTCTGTCCTCAAAATCAAGGTAGAACTTTAAGAGCATGGACTGAACGTTTTTGGATGTGGTGGCACTTGACAACATGAGTAGGAAGTGGTGGCCCAGTTACACCCTGTGACAGGTGGGGCAGGGTACCATGTCATGTTAAGGAGATGCTTACATAATGAAGCCAGTTCCCCAGGGCCTTGTAGTTTCAAAGCCTGTCGCCTGGGAGAGAACTGGTACTCATCATTCAAAGTTCCAAAGGTCATCTCCGTGAGGCGTTGCTTATTTGGCCTCTGGCCTCTGACCTTTTAGCTATCTGTAGAGGAGAGGAGCAGCTGGCTCGCCAGTTCATCCCGTTGCCTTGTGTGGCTGTTTTCCTCTAAGACAGGGCAAGCCACACTCGCTTCCAGGTCAGCTCTGAGGACCTAGTTATGATGAAGGAGTCTGGCACACAGTAGAGCTGCCATGGATTTACCAAGTGAGCAGTGCCACACTAAGTTGTCTGCTCAGTGGCCTCTGGACTCAGCACCCTGGGATCTGAGAGCAGTAGACCTCTGAGGATGCCCATACATGAGGAGAATCAGAAAAGCCTGGGCCCATCCTCCTCTGCTGCAGCAGCCTTCCCTAGAGATGCTGAGCAAGCTGGGGGCAGACCAGCACTGATGAGACCCAGCATGCTTGCTGCTTGCATTTGCCTTTCCCGAGGGCTCTGTTTCCCAACAGTGACAGCCACTAAGTGCTCTTGTTCACCCCTTCTTTCTCCTGTGACAGTGGGAAGTCTTTGGAGTCGGGCTGGGCGAGCACCTAGAGAGAAAGTCTTGTGGTGATGTGGCTCACAGATGTGTCTGGGAAGAAGCACACTTCTGACTGGCCTTTGTAGGCGATGTGGGTGTCATGTGGGCGTGGGATGTACTCCCAACCTGGGGTAGCCATTCTGGTATTGCTCAGAGGACGTGGTCGTCCTTGGAGAGCTCATGTCATTCCTGTCAGTTCTCTTCCCATGAGGGGGGTTCTTTGTTGTTACTTTGCCGGGGAGATGAAAGTTAGCTTCCAGGGCCTGTTCCAGAGCCACTCATCAGAATCCCAAATACCTAGAAATCTTCATTTGACTAACTGGATTTTGTGGCCAGCATTTGAGAGAGCTGCTTGCTAAAGCACATGCTTATGTGCAGAACACTGGGCCTGAGGGGTGGGACCTCTATTTCCCCTAGCCTTAACCCCTGAATCTTCCTCCCACCTAGTTGAGACTCAGCTTCACTACCTCAAGACTGATTTCGTGCAGCCCTCCTGGCCCCATGCTAGCCACCTTCTCCAGGGACCCTGCATAGTTCCCGGCCTTGCTGCCTTTCTTACATGCTCATGGGGTAGCCCTGCCAAGCCCTCCTGGAACAAGAAGATATGAGAGCCCCCTCCGTCCCCACCCAAGGGAGGTGTAGTACTTTGTGAGCTGAGTCTGGGTGTTTGGGGAAGATATTTGTTGAGAAAAGTCTGTCTTTTGTGAGAGACTTTGTGAACAGAAGAAAGGCTTAAACAGTGCCTGTCTTCCTTGACCTAATGTGCTTCTCCCTCTCAACAAACAGGGACTGTAGCTGAAAGTTTTCCTGGTCCCGCCCGGCTCCCACGGCCCCTCGGTCCTGCAGCTGCTCAGACCCAAATGAATACACAGAGGCTTATATTAATCATGAACTGTATGGCCTACTGGTTCAGGCTTCTTGCTAGATAGATCTTACATCTTAAATTAGCCTCTAACTATTAATCTATGTATTACCACATATTCTGTGGCTTTACCTGCATCCCATTACATGTTGCTCCTTCAGTGGCTTGCTGGAGTCT